ATCCACACTCACATATGTATGTGGGTTTTGTTCTACTGGTGCTGAACCAGATTAATTTAAATGGTAACCTTTTGAAAAGTGAACAGATACTGAAAGAATAACCAATAAAGACCACTATTCAGACCATAAAGGGGATGTGGTGATCAATTAGTTAGTGAACACGTAACTTTTGATAGTCTTGTAATGAAAGAAGCTATATAGGCATAAACCATTATGATCAGCTTTATAGTATCACATGGGACTGTCTAATGGGCATATTTATTGTATGTCTAAAGCAGCTGATGGGATTCTTGGGGTTTTTAAATTATGTTTCAGCATGCAGACCTGTGAATTCATATCCTAATAATGCATCACAATGACCTAAGTGGGAATTCTTCCTTTTTAAACAATGGGATATTAGAAGTTTTAAATATTTATTACACAAATATATATGTATATACATGTATATACATATATGAATCCCAGAGCTAATAAAGATGTTCTTAATGTTTCCAACTAATATTTTCAATACTCAGTAAAATAATCAATTTGTCCAATTTTAAGCTGCCTGACTCCATAAATGTGGTTTTTGGCATGGAACCTGATTTAAAATGCATTCCTTTCTCGAGTGATTGAACCATTGTAATGAGAATTTATAATTTGTAGTATATTACACAAGGAAATGAATTGAACTTCTCCATCAGAATTATTCATGGATCAAAATCTTTCTTTGCTCTAACACACGGAAACTGGCAGACAAATGCAATTACATTAGATAGGCTGTCATCCAGAACAACTGAAGAATGCTATTTATCTGATCCTAGCAATTTAAGCTTACCCTACTACCGTAGTTGAGTACAAATACCAGGCCATGACCATCACATTAGTACCGCAAGGCTATCCCAAATGTCATTGCTGGAAATCAATAGAGAGAGTTTTATTGGGTCCAGGCTATTTCATTTGGACACAATTGTCAAAATCAATCCGTGTCTAACTTAATTTGTAACTTGATTTGTACCTACAGTGCTTTTGTAGAGTAGACAACTGATTAAGAAACGCCATTTATTCTTGAGGGAAAAATGGAGCTTTCAAACAAATATCATTTTTACTTTTCATAGACATTACCACTGAGTACTTCCAAAATACATAAATTATTCACTAAAAGTAATAAATGAGAGCGCCGTTTTGTGAAAAGTGGCCCCAATAAATATATTGCTTATGACAACTTTGTGACATTTAAAAATGCCTCCACTTAGGAGAACATGCAGGTTATAAATTTAAAAGATTTTGCCTTGCATGTAGAGCTGAGTTTATGTAGAGACAGGTGCTGTTCACAAAATGTCACGATAGCTGAACTTTGAAATTGTCTCTAATGTAAATGAGGTTGATTGCTTTTTATTTTATTAAGACAAATAACAGCCCATTTCACCTCCAGAGGCTATTATTAGTGCTCTGTCATTGCAAGCTAGACCGCTATAAAACAAACTTTCTCGAACCAAGATCTTCATGCATTCAGCCCTGAATTATAAAAACTAGTATTCTTCCCGAGTTTTCAAACAGGAGCTCTGGAATTTGCGGAAGTTTTAAAAATGAAACTCTGAAAGATCTTTGATGAAGGAAGGTCTTATTGACTCAAGTTTGACATTTTGCTCACAAAATTGAATCTACACCCTATTGTTAACTTTGTGTTAATTTTCACTGCTTTTGTCACTCAAAGGATACCACTAGAAGCACCGAAATTTGTAAGTCACAGAAATGGTGAGTTCTAGAACACTGGACCAAAGTTATAAAGAAAAGATACATATTTTCAGAAATACTATTCTCAATCCATCTAGCGTGGTCAAGTGGCCACTTCTTCTCCTGATTATCAATATACACACCAGCAGATTGCAGCCTGGCTGTCAGTCCTTCTCCCAGGACTGCCTCATCCCTACACGATAAAGCACCGGTGATGCTTAGCTCATTCCTTGTTGAATAGCAGCCACCTGCTGTGCTACTTATTTACTAGAACAGAAGTCTTGAGTTCTTTGACCACACCAATCCATAGCCTAGCCATTACCCTTAGAGCCATAAAGCCTTGTCACAGGCCAGACAATGATGCTACCACAGTAAAAACCAAAGTTTAGTGTCTGTTACCAATAAGTCTACAGGAAAGGGCTGGAATTAGTTTACCCATCCTGATAAAAAGGAACCAGAGACTGAGAGACTTTAGACAGTTGTTTTAGGTCAAAGAGCTACTAAGTGGCAAGGATGAGATTCACCATGTCTATTGTCTCTACAACCCATAGTCCTAGATACACTGCATTCTACCTCCTTTTATACCCTAGACCCTTGATCTCTATTCTAGCCTAGAACTCTTTTAGAAGTCTTCAACACACATTGCCATGCACATTCTTTGTCGAACCTTCCTTAACTTGCCATGCACATTTTGACATGCCTTGCCTGTCACATATCTAGGCACCATCTTGAAGCCCTTGTCTTGCCTGTAACCTTCTACAAAATGACAGCCCATTTTAAACATTCCTTCTAAGTAGGTTTACGAATCTACTTAGACAGCAACCCTTTGTAAATACCACAAGCAGCAGTAGATCTTCTACTGTTTATAGTTTCCAAAGGTGTGTGACACTAGAGGACAGCTCTTATTTGACATAAATAGAGAGAGGATCTATTCTAAATAAGCCTTGACAATTTAGTTCCCATAATGTGGTTAATAGCTTGGGCCAAAATCTTCATCAGCAGGTAACAAGGTAAGTAAATCGCCTCCAAAATGAGCACATTTACATTTTCACTTCCAAAAGTAGCTGTGAACTAATCTTGGGAGCCACATACATTCCAGTGGGAGAACACTGACTATAGAGCCACACTTACCTGGATGTGAAACTGTTCACATTCTTAAGAAATATAAATCCTAGGATACTCTACTTAATCAGCTCAGCCTCAGATTCTCTGTGTCTGGAACAGGAGGAAAGCAGGGTGTTGAGGAAATGGCTCAGTGAGGTACTGGCTGTCCAAGTATGAAGACCTAAGTTTACATCTCCAGGATCCATCTGAAACACAGCCAGGTCTGTCGGAGCTTCCCTGGGGCTCAGTGGCCATCTGATGCATCCAAGTCATTCAGCTCCTGGCTCAGTGAGAGACCCTGACTCAAACCATAGAGAGCAGTGAGGCAGCTCACAGTTACCCATTCCAGGTGTGACTACTGAAGAAGACTGCTCTGAACTTGGAGCTCCTCTTTGGACTTGCCCAACACTGTCTACCTCCACACAAATATGAACGCCCAAAACACTAGGAGCAAAATAACTAGGTAGTTGGGCTTTTGTCAGATTCCACAAGAAAAATGAGCAGCGACAACTTAAAGATGGGTGCTAGGAGAGTGGCCTTGCGGTTGCCTTCCAAACCTCTCCTCCACCATTTCCGTCAGGGTTACAAACTCAAAAACCTCAGAATTAACTCCATTACAGAACTCTTAATGAGACTTCATGAGACCAACCAAATTATTTGTCACACTCACTGTGCTACCTTCCTCCTGACATCCCAGGCTCAAATATTAAAGACAAAGCAATAGTAAACTGAACAGCACATAAAAATATGGTAGATCCCTTATGAAAGACCGTCAGAGGTAAACACCATAACCTATCTGTCCACAATCAACTAATATTTACACCACTATATAATACAGATTGTAGTGGCATCTTGCCTTGTTATTGAACTTGTATCAGTGGCCACACCCATTGGGCATGGTTTCAGGTGCAGACAGGACCCATTATAAGGTAGAAGAGGGGCTGGATCACTCTCTTGGGTTCTGGAGAGCATCAGAAGGGCAGAGAATGCATCTTCTGGAGCAGGAAGGCCTCACCGGTTATTTACTCTTATCTGTGAAGGTTCTTCCCCCAATAAACATCTATTTATAATTTATCTTGGGTCTGGTGAACTCATTTTAAACCTCTGCCTTCATCAAATCCCTTGGCTTAAAAGGAAAATTGAGGTTGCCCCATGTGCCCTTCTAGAAAGAACTAACACAGGGCAGTAGAAAAACACCAGAGAGTGACCCCAAAGTGCTTCTCAACACAGATCCCCCATGGTAGCCATCTCATAAACAGATAATAAAGCTGCCATCCATGAATTTACAGTATGTAATTGAGAGGCTGAGAGAGAACGCCCATCTTTGCCTCTGAACATGGATGCAATCCAAGTGGTTAAAATAGGAAGACTCCTGGCAGAATGGATGGCATCCTCTGGGGACTGAGAAACCCTAAATTGAAGCCAGTGTGCCTGCAGACCCTGCAAGCCCACACATTTAGATTGTTGGCACGTCTAGTGGAAAGCTGAGCCAGGAACAATACCAAGTTTCAGTGGACCCTCTAAACCTGATAGTCCCTACACATGTTCTAAACATATGTTTAGCCCAGCAAGGTTTATGGTGACAGCTAAAGAGCCCCTTCAGAAGCTGTCAGGGATGACATTTGTAAAAGCCCCTTAGGACTATCACATGCCAATGAGGGTATATGCATCATGTTAGCATGAAATGTAGCTGTGTGAACACAGGATGGGCCTAGAGAGTTACAAAGCTACTCTGAAGAATCTGGGCCACTTCCCACTGGCCAGTCCTGCAGCCAGGCTCCATCAGAGAAGCCACAGACAACACTGTCACATTTCCCCACAGGTCAACTAGGAAAGACACAGCCATCATTAGAGCCTCTGAGTTTGAAGGTCTCTAAAGAAAGTGATATGACATTTGCCTCATATGGCTTATCACTATGAAGAGTACTTGGAACACATAACTTGGTATTTCTAAAGCATATAATTGAAAAGTCCTATTATTGGCCAAATAGAGAAAAAAAGCCCAGAAATGATTCATTGAGAGCCTATTAGTTTGCTACATTATTTTACAAAATAATAACAACAAATAATAACAAACCATTGTTGGGGGAAGTCCTGTGCATTTGTCAATAAAGTACTGTTGAGCCAATAGGAAACCTAGATAGGAGGGACTAGGAGTCCAGGAGGACTCTGGGAAGGAGAAACACAAGAGAGTTCGAGATGTAACGCCATGGGGTAGGAGCCTGGAACTATTCTCTGGTAAGAGACATACTTAGATTAACAATTATGGGGTAATTACTTAAGCAGAGCTAGCCAGTAAGAAACAAGCAAGGCCAACAGCTTCATAATTAATACAGCGTCTTGTGTGTTTATTTGGGGACTACAATGCGGCAGAACCCAGGCGACTGGCAGGGGATAAACCAAAGCGGCTAGCAAGAAAAAGCTTCTCTTAACAAACCATTGCTAGTGTCAAAAAATTAAAACTTGGTAAAAGAAAATACCAAGTTCTTAGTGAAGAAACTAAGAATGCTTAAAACTTTTTTCAAAGGGAAAAAGAAAACAACAATCATTTCTTCTAAGCAACTTGAAACAAAGTAGTTATCTAATAAAATCTCCTATTTATAAATAACTCTGTATTTCTTGTGGAAAGATCCAGAATCAAGTCAGGACAGAATAACTTTTTTCCAAGAAGGATTTAAGATTCTAAAAAGCCATCATGCTAGTTTCACTATGAAAAGTTTCTCTTCACAGCACAAGAAATCTAAGATTGTTTCCCCTTGCCAACAATAAGGTCACTGCTCCATCCATTCAGTTTCTAAGAGGAGAAGGAATTAATTTTAAAACCCTGTCAAGAGATTTCGAAAAGGAAGAAGAAAGCTTCCATTGTATACTTAGACCTGAGAATAAAGGGTATCAAACACAGAAAGTTGTTCAAGATCTCCCCACAAATGGGTGTGTAAACTTGTTTCCTGTACTACCATTTGCCATGGGCAACTGAAACCCAACCAATAAGAAGTGCCCTACAGCCCAAGACTAAAAGAAATACACTCCAAAATGGGACTAAAACTTTTGGGGCTTTCTCTGGAGAGCAAAGGCAGTCAAGTGTACCTGACCTTTATGAAGTTTTAGAGCAGATGGGCCCGCAGTACTCATCTCCTGAGCTACAAAATTGCACAACTTTCTCAAATACATTTTCAACTTAGTGCTAAGCAGTTTTCTTTTGTTAATAATTTGTCTTTATTCCTGAGATTCTCATACATGTATACAAGGAAATAATATAAGCATGAGTGTATAACTGGCCTTATGGTATTGTTGACTTAGGGTCTTTTGGCTATAATTAAAGAGTAGTTAGTATAGCTGGGTCACACGTTAGTTCTATTTTTAGCTTTCTGAGGAACTGGTTTCCAAAGTGGCTGTGCCAGTTTCAGTTCCCACCAGCTTCTAACCCTCCAGCCTTCATGCAGAACAGTGGCAACAAGCAGCTGTACACCCTGGTATTCTGAGCCGCTGAGGACATGCCACATAAACAGGCACATCAACAATGTCGCTGCTGCCCTTAACCTCAGTCTTCTCCATCTGATCTCAGTAGGCTTGACCATATTTTCTGGGGCCTGAGTTTTTGCCACTGGCTCACTTTCCCCAATTATTACCAATGTTTAGGTTAATTCGATTTCAAAAACAAACTTAAACATAACCAATCATTTGGAGGCCAAATGAAATAAAAAATGCTAAGTTCCATGGGCAGAATCTCCTGTTCCAATAAGACTGCAGACAGGCAGAGGGAGAAGCAGAATGAATGAAAAATGGGCAGACAGTTGAAGAGAAAGGCCACAAAGGTCTAAAAGGGAATAAAAGCATCTAGGTGGGCATGGAGATAGACACTTGTAATCTCTGAATTAAAGATACAGAGGCAAGAGGACTGTGGATACAAGGCTATATAGCTAAGACAAAATTAATTTTTAAGTGCAGGAAATATACCAATCTTCTTGTGTTCTTCCAATAAATAACTTGAAGAAGATCATTTGGTAGTTGGTTTGGTTCCTCCCTTTTAAAAAGCCATGATTCTCTCAGGGAAAATAATGTCATACTTCATGGTGCTATAGTGTTGTTTACTAAGAAAAAAAAATGTTAGCACTAGACACTAACTGGACAAGTCATTCCTCAAAGCTACAGTTTCTACTGCTTTTAGTATTCACAAAAGTTTCAATTATATTGGGAAGACTTTTATTTCTTTTCTCTTTCCTTGGACAATAGTTCATCATTTTCTGTGTCTTACTGAGATAATGCAAACAGCAACTGCTAGAAATTTTGCTCAGAAATACTCATAATGACCTCCATATGGACCTCCTTCACAGCTGCCAAAAAAACTTCACTTACCTGATATAACCTTCACAACAACTCAGTATGTTGGGGAGATCTAGTGCTCTAATAAAAACATTGAAGCCCAGACACATCACTTATCTACTCTAGGACGAAGCTGCTTCTTCTAGTACAACATACTTCCAATATGGACACCAGGTCTCATTTCCCAACTACAGTTACATACTTCCATGTGTTAATACACCTCACATATGTTCAAACTCTTTATTTTACCTTGGTGAATGTTTTTTCTGGTCTGATTATCTCACTAAACTGTAACTCAGGGCCATAGTTCCAACATATGATTTCCAAGAAGTGTTTAACCTCAGTTTTTCTTCCATTTATTGAAAACTATGTCTATCCATCCTCCTAGTGGACTATGGAGCCAAAATAACAATAACAACAACAATAATAATACAGTAGATTCCATGCACTCATCCCTTATTGACAGAAGATGTGCACCAAGACCCACATTAGGTGCCTAAATCCTTAAATAACACCAAATCCTGTGTATGAGCTCTGAGTTTCCACAGAATCTAGTCTGATAGCTGAGAAGGCACAGTGAATACCGGGATGATAATGTATATAGTGTAGATACACTGGCTTAAAGCATGAGTCCTGTCTTAGGTAGATGGAATGAGATGGCATGAGATTTTATTAAACATGTTACTCTGACTGGTACACTGATTAAAACTTAGGCATAGTTTCTTTCTGGAATCTTGCATTGATTTTTTTAACTATAATAGATCCAGTTAACTGAATCTGAAAAAAATAAAAAGAGCAAGACGGCACCTTTGTAATGGCAACTACTGGTCAACATTACAATAGATAGCATAGTCTATCCTTACGACAACTTGGTATATTGTAAGTTATTACAGTTCTTATTTAGTATCAGAAAACAAAAATCGAGGCTCAGCAAAGCTGAGAAGCTTTGTTGGGTCCCAGGTCAAGTGACAATGACATTGTCTGTAAAAGCTGACTCCAGCTATATTCAAAACCCATTTTCATGATGACACATTGTTTTCAGACTCTAGATTCCCAGTATTCAGTGCGACATTTCTCTTGTCATCTTCACACCTTTGAGGTGTGCTATTAAATTTAAAGGACCCAAGAGAAGATGCCTTTCTCCTGCTCATAGTGGAAATCTCTTTTCCCATTCGATATTCATTACCCACTCCTCTTAACTTAGTGGCCTAGAAGAGTGGGCACTATATACTGTGCTGCAGGCAAACAATTGTCCTTTACAGGCCTCAGCATCCTCCCCCAAGGCAATTTGCTCATTCATGCACTTCTCCAAAATCTGTTGGTCTCCTGGGCACATCCCCAAAGCCTTTAATACCTTAAATGCCCAAGATGGAAATCTTCCATGTTGACGAACTCAACAGGTAAAATGCACACCGTCATTCACGCCAGCCACTGTCACCCATCGTCTCTGAGAGCAGTCTCACTCTCAAGGTGAAGTGTTTGCTCTGTGTTTCTCATCTCTGACTCCCTCATTCTCACTTCCACCCTCATGTGTCCCTCAGTCCACCCAGTCTTTCTCACTGCCATCCTTTCTTCAACAAACTAAAGCCTCCGAGGCAGCCTCCCGTCTCTCTTGGACTTCCGCTTTGCCCCTCACCCCTGATCCCTCTCCAACAAATAGGTTCACTCTTCATAATTTACAAAATCTTTCCCACCAGCTCCCTAACATGCAGATCATCCTCCTAGGTCTCCATTTACTGCTTGTTTGTGTACTTGAAACGTAGAGTGAGCAAAACCTTAGTGTAGAATTTTATAAACACACATACATATACATTTACATGTATACACATATACATATGACATATGCCAATAATAAGCACATGTATTTAAAATATACAACTACAGGTGTGAGCTCTACATGTATCTGTGACACTGCTTAAAACATACGGAATAAAGTGGGTTACATCTTCACTGCAGTGAACTATTATACAAATGCAAAGCAACTGCTTTTGAATTCAGACTGGCTCTAAATTCACTCCACTCTATCCTCTGAAGAATCCAGGCTGCTTTGGTTACCCCTGTATTCACTCAAAGGAGACAGTAACTTCAGGTTTAGAATACGTGAGAGCCAGGCTTTTTGCCATTTTGTAAAAATATTTCTCTGAACCATATTTTTATCAGATGGTATAATTCTGCTTCTGATATAATTCACCTTTTAAACGCATAAATTTGTGAACACTGGAGAGATGGCTCAGCAGTTAAGAGCACTGGGTACTTCTTCCAGAGGACCCCAGTTCGATTCCTAATACCCACATAGTGGCTCACAACCTCCTCTAACTCCAGTTGCAGAAGATCAGATGATGTCATCTGGCCTCTACAGGGACTGGATGCACAAGTACATAGACATAAACGAAGGCACAATACCCATACACATAAAAAGTTTTTAATAAACAGATAAATGCATATCTGTGCAAGAAATGATAGTTAACACTTGTAATCTCAGCAAAAAGATTCCCACCAGTTCAGAGCCAGCCTGGGTTACAGACAGAAGCTCCCCTCTCTCACCCTTCGTCTTCCTCTCCCCTTCTTTTGCTCTCTCTCAAGACTCCAAGATGGCGGAGTTCATGAAGGTATGACCCTCTAAGACTGATGACCTGAGTTCAGTTCCTGGAACCTGCCAGTTAGAAGATGACAACTGATGTTGGAAGCTGTCCTGTGAGTCCTACATGCAAGCTGTACATGTGTGCACACACATCCACACGCACAAATAAGTCATTCATAACCAGAAAAACAAAGAAGTATACATTTATGCCAATAAAAATATGTAGATGACTGCTGCTTTGAATGACGTTTACTCTGATTTAAGAAAGAATTCTCCTCAGAGTGAAAATCTTAATAATCATCTTTAGTGAGAAAAACAGAATATTCAACATTATTAAGGGTGAGGGTAAACCAGAAAATTCATTTTCTTACTTTTGTCAGCCAAATAGGAAAAATGTAACATTTTAACACAAGACAATGATTCTTTGAATACACTTCTGTGGATTTATCCATATTTGTTCCATTTGTTTACATTAAAAAGCATACATATCACTAAGAATAATATTAGTGGAAACGCCTAGTGTGAAATATCAGCCCCTTCAGAAAAACGTTAAATCTAAAAGAAGATTTAATTTTTATGAGTCAACATACAACCCGTCATTTTAGTCAATCAACCACCAACTAAATACCTTTCTCCGGGTGAGTGTCTTGAGGACACAAAATAGCAAGCTTGCCAGCTCTCTGAGACAGGATTCCTTTCCTGCTCTCTCCTACTGATCCTCCTCCAGGGGGCAGTACAGCTCTGAGGATCAGCACGACCACTGTTGCCCTGACTGGAATCTCCACCCTCTCCCTTCCCACACATGAAGTAGGACACCGGTTTAACTTGAGTCTTAGTTAAGGACAGAACCAGCCGGATTGCTGTGCAGACGAAATGAGAAAACTGACAAGATGCGACATGCCCTATCTATCCTGAGCTCTTATCTTCTTTATTAGCACCATGCTAACTTTTCCCCATGCTAGTTTCACCGAGTATAATTTATTGAGCTTATGTATTCTAAATTATATAATATATGATACATGTTAGACATACAGGTAAAGACACTAGAAATGCAACATATCCCCTATCTCCATAAATTCAGTCAGGTGGGAGAAATTAGACCCAGAGAGTGTAAATAAAGTAATACCTTAAGACCCATAGAATTACTGAAGTACAAGGAAGAGAGAAAAATGTCTCCAATGTACTTAAAGGAGGGGATCATCTTGTCATTGTGAAGGTAAACAGGTGGATAAAATGAAGCTGGAAATGAAAATGTCACTTCCCAATGTCCCGCTAACCTACTTCCCCACCTTGAGTACATCCTCAGAGGTTTAGACAAAGACAAGTGACCAGGGTTCAGCCACTGGAAGCTCTTTCCTAGTCGTGAATTCTTTTTGTTGTTTGTTTTGGGGTTTTGTGTTGTTGTTATTTTGTTTTGTTTTGTCTTTTGCTGTTCTTTTTATTAATTTTTATTTAAATTAAAAAATCTTATTTTACATATCAATCCCAGTTCTGTCTCCCTCCTGTCCTCCCATTTCCCCAACCTTCTCCCCAGCCCACCACCCATCCACTCCTCAGAGAGTGAGGCCTCACACAAGGGATCATCAAAGTCTGTTACACCATTTGGGGCAGGACTGAGTTCCTCCCCCTGTATATAGGCTGAGAGAGTATCCCTCCATAGGGAATGGGCTCCAAAAGTTCATTCATGCACTAGGGATAGACACTGGTTCCAGTGCCAGAGGCCCCACCCAACTGACACCCACCTTCAGGAGGCATAGTTCAGTCTTATGGAGGTTCCCCAGATGTCAGTCTGGAGTCAGTGAGCTCCCACTTGTTCAGGTCAGCTGTTTCTCTGGGTTTCCCCAGCCTGGTCTTGACCCCTTTGCTCATCAATCCTCCGTGTCTACAACTGGTTTCCAGGAGTTTGGCTCAATGCTTAGCTGTGAATCTCTGCTTCTGCTTCCATCAGCTACTGGATGAAGGCTCTAGGATAGCATTTAAGGTAGTCATCAATCTCATTATAGGGGAAGAGCATAAGCGAATCCTTGAAGAATCCAGCAGAGCGATACTTGGTGTGTGGAGAGCAGTTCTAAGGGCAGGAGAAAGGGTTGCTGATGCTGAGGCTGTGAACCCCAGCTGATTATCATCTCTACGACTCCCCCATTCTCTAAGCCCCTGGCTAATATTTAAGACCCCCTTAGATGGTTGTCCAGCTACTTATTTTCTATGTATCTTAGAGGTTTTCTATTTACAACTAACAACCTTCTTGATGCCATAGGGTTGGTGCCTAAGTTTCCAATTGGCCTCTGACTGTTGCTTGCTTTACTGCTATGACACTATTATCTTGCCTTTTCTCAGTATAAAGAGTGCCATGATCGTGGCACTTTATTCTTGCAAAATACGTGTCAAGAAAAGCATTGTTTAAATTTTAATTAACTAAAGGAATCAACTGTTCCCACTTCCTTCGTGACTCATTCCTTACAAACAGGGCTCCCTTCTTTCCATTTTATGATACACAGCAAAGAAGAAGAAAGAGCCAAGTTGGGAAGAACAGCGCAAGGATATAGAGAAATAAGGACTCGTTTTCTAGTTTCCCACATGAGTCCACCACCCAGTGCTATCCTTGTTTCCTTCTTAGTATTAGGTTGATCAAATTGACCTTCTTGTAGGGTCAAATATCATCTACTAGGTACTCAGTGAGGCAGCCTCAGACACAGGCACAGCCTCATAGGTACGTAGGTCCCTGTCATCCCTGGAGGATGAACAGTGAAAGCCTGAGTTGAAGATGCCCACCCTCTAAGAAGCCATCTGGAACCCTTAAGGCTTCTAGGAATTTAAGCCACACTGAAAATCACCTATATGGACATAGTGAGAGTAGAGTAAGAGGGGGAAAAACATAATAGTAACTTGCCCTCCCAATGTTGGCTGTAGGGTACACAGGCAGCAGAAGCTAGACCTTGGCACTTTCATATCCCCAAATGTCTCCCTGCCATCCCTTATCACTTCCCAGCTGTCTCCAGATTTTATTTTGCATCCACTTCGTCTGCGAGATCACAGTTAATCCTAGAAGAATGTGCCTCTCTATAGACAGAAACCTGACTCCTGAGAACAAGAAAGAAAGGGGAAAAAAACCTCAGTAAACCTTGGGAAAACTGCAGTTGCTTTCACATGTACAGAGCGAACTTGTGGAGTCACTGGACTTTAAGAGAGAGGTCTGTTTGTTAGACTGCCAAAGCTTACTGCTCCCTGGAGGACAGAGCAGCTTCCTCTAAGCCCCTCCCACAGGCTCCTGTCAGCCAGACTGGGGCTGCTCAAAAGGATGGGAATTTAAAAGCTGCCACACGAGTAAGTGCAAGAACTGCCACTAAAACAGCCACCAGACCCTGAGTCCTGCTTAGAAAGTCACCTACTGCAGAAGGTAGCATCGGGTGGAGGAAGGGCCACCAATGGCGAAACGGTGGAATGCGGGGTTGATGAAAAGCAGGAAGGAAAAAAAATCACAAGAAATCACAAGTTCTCAGAGAGGCAAACTCTTTTGCCCTTTGCCCTTGAAAAAGAGTTTTTCTCTCTCTGGGAGTGGTTTTCTTTGACCTAGACTTAAGCTAGAAGTCAGTACTGATAAGTTGCCCAGTGTACCCATGGCCTAATATTTTTCATCAATGCTCAAAAGAAACTTCAAAAGGAAGTTTTACTTTTGTTTCATTCTTATTTATGATGTGTCAGCATTTCCCAGGGAAAATATATCTTAGCTCCCAGGTCTTGAAGAATCCAGAGCCCACGGGAATAAACAGAAACAAAAACAAAGAACAACGTGATAAACAGCACCACGTCATGAGAGGAGCTCCATTTCTGCAGAGCTCTTGTCTTCGCCATTTTCCACACGCCCTCTTGGAGTTCTGTAGCTTCTCCATCTCGTTCCTCAAACAGGAAAGTGAGTTCACAAGCATCCATCCAATGTGTAAAAGGGAACACAGCTATTCTCATCAGTTAATCCACCTTCAGAGATACAAAGGACAGACGCAGGGCTCTCTGGCTGTGAGCATTGACTGCTCCTGCAGAACACAGGGGTTCGATTCCCAGCACACATTTGGTGGCTAAGGACCTCCAGTTCCAAGGGATCTGACGCCTTCTTCTGTACTCTTTATTTACTGCATACGCAGTGACTAAGTATACAGGAATATATGCAGGCAAAAACACGCATGCACATAAAATTAAAGATTAAAGATACAAAGGAAACCAAGTGTATTACACTGAAATCTCCATGCCATACTTTATGGGGACTTCTGGTTCAACTGGACATCACAGTTCTTCTATGAATCTCATCAAATCCCACAATGACGCTATTTGGAGATGGCACTGTATAAAATACTAGAAGTATCCCCAGAGATACCTTTGTTTATTCAAAAACAAACACAAATGCAAATGGTACTCACTATACCAGCTTTCCTACATAGAAGCCCTTACTCTAGACCTCGGTGTTTGTGAGAATGCCTTGCCTTGCTAGAAATGGTATCTTCCAGAGTCTTTCTTCTTCTCTTAGAAAAACATGCTGTCCTTCTTCAGGGTTGGTCCAGTCTGAGAGCACTTCAGAACCTCACTAAATGTGTCTCTCTTTCTCGTGTCTGTGACCCTGTCACCACCAGCCCTCTTGTTTGTCCGAATGGCAGCACATCATCCCCAGACGTCTGCCCTGGACCTTACTGTGATAGCTTCCTTAGGTGGGTCTTGTGGAAAGCCCAACTGATTCATTTTCTGCCAGTTTCCCAGTACATTTCCACAACGATCTGAAACTATTTATAACTGCTTCACTTCCTGGAATGTTTCTGCTGCGCCAAGGAAACTTCTAAAGTTTAAGGACGTCACATTAGAACTGGCTGCTTTGGCTCTGATCCTACTTTCTTTTTAAATTCTGGAAGAAAAAAAAATGTTTCCAAAACTGATGTTTAAACTGTCTCTATTAAATTGCCTTTCATTCATTTATTTATTTTTTTGGTAAAATTGTGCCTCCTCAGCAAAACTCTTAACTTTTAGAGGACAGAAACTATGCCAACTATTTGCTGGTTTGCTTATTCATTCGTTGCTTCCCACCCGGTTCCTTCTTCCTGAGTCCTACCCACAGCACCCCACACACGACGAACGCACAGCAGTGTGCAGGTACTGGGATCAAACAGACGTTTCAGCGTTGATGGCTGCATTTTGGGTGGCCAATGTTTTTAGCTGTACAGGAAAGTGAAAATGGAAATACTGAAGT